AAAATCGGTGTTTTCGGCTCGCGCCAACGACAGCGGCGCACAGTGGATCAAGTTTAAGAGAGAGATCGGGCATGAAATATTTGACTAAAACTGCAAATTTTGATGAAAATTTCATCACATTTTAAATAATGAGGACTGTTTCTGAAAGGAAAATTTCACGAGGAAACCACTGAAACTATGTTTAGAACCCTAAAATTATGTATGAACGGAGTTATAAGCGTTTTAAGTCTCCAAATTTTGTCCAAACTCTCCTATCAATTGACTCAATCCAACTTTTTTTTTTTTTTTTTTTTTTTTTTTTTTTTTTTTTTTGCACAAAAATACATAGCAATTGTACCATGAAGCCTTTCGACTTATAAATCTTTAAAAAGCCTTATTTTAACTTTTAGTCCATTTATTTACTAAACATTACCGATTTCAACTAAAAATTGTACCACCAAAGATAAACAGGCGAGAAAGAATAGAACTTAATTATTACAAGATAATAATTATTCAATTTTTTTCATCATCGCGTTACGACTCGATCCACTGTGCGGCGTCTGCAAGTGCGGTTATACCGGCGCCGAAGTTGCCGAATCATGCGGGAAAACACGAGAAATACAGTGGTTTTGTAGGACGATGTGGCATCGGTAGCGGCGCAGAAATTCTTATGCGGAGCCGGAACAAAGCCCCGCGGCAAGGTATCGTGCAAGTGACCCACTATGCTCACTGCACCGCGCTCGGTTCGCGGCCAGTCCATATTCTGCCATTTCTTAACATTATTATAATCAGGTGCCCGGTTTTGCGCTTTTGCACGCCCCTCCCCCCTCCTTCCCGCCCCCCGTGGAGCGGGGTCTCGGGGGCAAGACACCTCAACACTTTCGCTGGTTTTCCGTCAGCGAGCTATTAAAAACGTCCCTGTCAGGAGGGTCGGTCTGCGTGGTCTTACAGTAGCTGTTGAGAACATTACGGCGCGACGCCTCAATTGAAGAGTGGGCATTTAAAACCTGGTGAGCGCTAAAGGATGTTGCTACAAAATTGTACAGTTGTTTCTCTCGTCAGGGGGATCGAATATTCGCCTATGTAAAACGATTATGGTTCTAATAATGAGTCTAAAATTTACCTCAAATTTTCCATTAAAAAGTCCACGAATTTTGAAATTGATGGATTAAATCAATAGGGTAAGGGGACGAATAGGAAATGAAACGAGCTTGTTGGCGGAAGCGGGTGGTTGGAATGGAGAAAGGAGGGAAGTAATAGACTAACTAAAAACAACCCGCTGGTTCATCATTTTCTCCTAAGTCTTTAACAACCACCCGTCTCAACCTATAGGGTCGCGCTTTATTTCCCTTCGTCTTTTTTGTCAATTGAAGCGCTAGGTGCAGAAAGGACATTTTTTTACTGAGGTGACTCGGGACCACCGTTAACGTTTCATCCACCTAAATCAAGTGCATAAAATTCGTTGAAACTTTTATTGAATTTTCCTTATTCTTCTACAATGCTGAAAAAAAATTCAGAAAATTCACCCAATAGTTTCCTCTCTAAAATATAAATTAGCAGTGGAGATTCTGAGACATCGCAAACAAGGAATGCCCATTCTGCACCCAACGCCGCAATTTCTTTTTCGATCAGTTTCAATGATCAGACCGTGCGGAAAACCAGGGAATTAGGGACTTTTGGAGTTGTGGGAAAGCAAAAAAGTTACGCTTAGTTCGGGAATGGAAAACTCTTTTTTTTTTTTTAATGGAAATCCTGATTACTCTCTCTCTGTGACGATACTCGAATCGAGATGCGTGGTTTTATACCGAATCATAAAGTGCATCTGCAAAACAGACCTACATCGAGCACTGCAAGAGGAGCCTTCTCATGAAGACGTCGTGGGCAGTGACGCTGCAGCACACGTTTGCGTCGTCTCGTCGCGGCATTCGCCGGTCAATGGCGTGCGTTTGTTCGGTCAGTAAGTGATTACTTGCCAGAAATGACGTTTTCATAGACTCGCAACGAAGCGTAGGAAATTAACCGAGCGCGCGAAATTGCATGCGAATCTCACACTGCACTTTACCTTCGCATCTGGGTTAAAGTGCGGAACAAAAGTGAGGAGTTAATCGTGTCGTGTAAGGAGGAAAAAAAATTCGCGATTTGTTTTCATTCATGCATTTTCCCCGCTCTTTTTCAAGTTTTTCGCTCCTCGTCTTTCATTCTTCAGCCTGTCGGTCTGAAAAAGTGGCATAGTTTCGCGTGAAATGAATTAATCGAAGGGTTTCACCGATTGGAAACTGGCGCGGGTGATACTTTCACGAATATCAGCGATGGCGTTAACTTGCTATCGCACCTACTATAGGGTGCCAAGTTCTTTAAAAGTAAGGAAACCTTTGAAAAGCAGGGACTTAGGTCCAACCCTTAAAAGTGCTGGAATTTTGCTGCGGAAACTTGAAATTTGATCTTCCGGTCAAAGCATTGCATTTTTCAAGATCAAGAGGCTTAGCGGTTGAAATTTTTCGTGAATAAATTGTCTACGAGAAATCATGCCTCCCAATAAATTGAATGGTCTGGGAACTTGGAAGGTGTAAAACAACTCGGCACCGTTGACAATAAAAATGTGTTGAGCTCATGAGAAATGAAAGTTACCCAATAAAATTTAGCATATCCAATTTTGTCTAAAGAGTTAAGTTCAAAAATCATTCGGAGCTTCTGGGCTTGGGCAAACTTCATGAGGGGACCGCAAGGCTGGCTGAGCTGTAACCTTGTACAATTGATCAAATCAAAGTATAAAATAAAATATTCTCATCTGTATTTTCTGAAGGGATGAGACGGGAGAGGGTGTTTCCCAAAAAGCTGATTCCAATATCGCTTTTGATTAGCCTTATCTTTTCACCTCGATATCCAAACGCTTCCGACGTGATCAAGGAACCCTAGAATTAATTGTGGTCCGACGCCTAAAATTTTTTCGCATCAATTAAATCAAGCTGATGCTGCTTGCCCAGGCTGAATGTTTATACTCACCTTGCTGATTTAAGGTAAAAATGTAATGAGGAATTTTCCCAAGATAGAAATGGGTTAAAGGGTCGGAGGTGTCAGTTGTCCATTGTGTTCACATCCTTTGTCCAATCCAGGGAAAATTAAGTCCGGAAATCCTGCTTGAGTCCAGTGACATAATCCGAATCCGAGTATCATACTCGAGATCTGATTTCTTGACTCCATCTTCGTGCCACCTCGATCTGGTCTTACTGTCATGTTCCCAGCCAGTGTTACCAGTTCGGTGCACAGGGATAAGAATCACATTTCCGCCGGCTTTCAACACCGTAACGCACGTTTTCCCGTTTCGAGCTGGCAACTTTATGTCTCCAACTCATCTCTGAGCGTATACCTGTCTCTCGCTGTCGGGAGTTGAAATTTTTTGTTTTTTTGTAATTTTGGCCCTCGGAGTTTTTTCTAATGCAACAGCTCTAGGCAAACAGGGTGTCTAGCATCAGGATTTTTCCGATTCTATCAGGATGTGAGGTAAATCAGGATTTGAGGAAAAATCGGTCGTAAAATCAGGATTTGAGATAAGTCGGCTGTCCGATCGGATTTTTTTCCCCTCTGCATACGTTTTTGTAGAAATTTTAATTTTTCTCCCTAAAAACTCAGGATTTGATCAGGAGTTTGAAAAATTATGAAATCAGGATTTAGCAGTCAAAAATCAGGAAAAATCAGGATTTCATCAGGATATCCCAAAATGAAAAAAAAAACAAAAAAAAACTAGACACCCTACCAAAAACAGAATTTTACAACAGTGGGATAGCCGAAAATATACGTTAAACAATCTCGGAACTCCATCGCAGCTACGATAGAGTTCGGCTCACATTGGATCGAGTCATTCAGAGAGGTCAGACATGAATTTTTTTTAACTAAAACTGCAAATTTTGATGTTTAATTCGTCAACTTCTAAATTTGAAGGGGTGCTCCTGAGAGAAAATTTCACGAGAAAACGAATGGAACCACTTTTAAAACTTCAAAGTTTGGTATGGATGAAGTTGTAAGCTTTTAAAGTTTCCAAATTTTGTTCGATTTTTCCTATTGACTCGATCCACTGTGCGGCTCTGAGAATAGTTGCTAAGCATACAGAAAGGGAAGAGGGGTGGGTAGTTAGTTATGTACTTAATTTAATAAGACGATCAGCAACTATGGTCACCAAAGTCGAGTATAATATGGTAACATATACACTCTAATCGTAACAAACGTTGAAAATTAAAAGCGAACCGCAGCTTTGCTTCACATGGTTTACCGACCAGTGGCTGGTGCACTATCGGTCCGACACGCAAGTTTCAAGTCCAGAGGCTGTGTGAAGAGTCGATGATTGATTCTAAACATGGCGTGGGTGCAGAGAGAACCCGATTAATACGCGTATTCGTCACGAGATTAGTCATTCAATCCGAGCCACCTTTTATCTGAAGACCCATGCGCCTTCTCTATTTCTTGTTCTTTTCATCGTAAAATGTCTTTTTTTACTCAATTCGGATCTGATAGATATCTCCTGACGCCAGTGTTAGCTGCGCCAGCATCCACTTACAAATTTCCATGTTTTTTGTTAGATTTTCTTTGGTGGAATCAACTTAGATAATTTCGTGCGATCATCAAAATCGTGGGTTTATTCAACCAGGATGTTTGGTAAAATCAAGGAGGTTTGGTGAACTCAACTAGAACCCTAGGTTACTTCGAGATACCTTAGGATTAAGTTAGTGTCTTGGTGACGAAATGTACACCTGTTTGCTCCCTTTCGTTCATCAGTTGTGGCTTGCGAATGGCCAACAGAGTGGATCCTTAACCTAAAAATCCGGGTTCGATCGAGTTTTTCAACTGATTCGTTTAGACACTTCAACCGGAATGGGTTTTTTTTTTATCCTGATGCGTATTTTTCTGTTCCTAAAATTATTTATGCGATGTATTTACTTATTTTTTTAATTTTTGAGTTAACTGTGCTTTTAACCTTTTAATTATACATTTAACTAATAAACTCGTGTTTTTTTTTTCTGTTTCAGTTTGACAGTTATGTCCGATCAATTAAAGTCGAACCAAATTCTCCTGCATTTAGATTTGTAACGGATGGCCAATTACCTTTAAGACAGTGCCTGCATCCTGAAGCGTGCAATAAAGAAATAGAACTACCCGACTGTTATAATACATTCCATGACCTTAGGAAAGATTTCAGAAAATTTTATAGTGTTCCTGAAACAGAAGAGCTTAGTTCAATTTCAGATCTAATTAATTGTATCCTTTTTATACCATACACGTTTTTTATTTTAATATCAACCAATTTCACGATAAGGTAGGTGCCTCTTTTCTTTTTCTTCACTTTGCAGCCAAGATTTTCATAATTTTAATCAACTCGATTCTCTTAGTGATACAGCGACGGTCGTTATTCACTATTTTGATGCCAGTCTCGGTCACTAAGTTAGTGCGTATTCGATTTCTTTAGGGTTGGAAATGAGCTGTTTTGAATTTTACGAGTAATTTCATGGTAGTACGAGCGTTTCCAGTTGGCTCGTTTTTATGAACTAATCGCGCATTTTTTTTCTTAGGTTCGGTATATACTCGATTCGTACTTTCCCGTAAGCTTATGAACATAGACTCCAAATTTTACAACGCAAGAACTTTTCTTCCATAGGATTTTTAACGTAGGCATCGAAAAATTTTCCCCCAATGTCATGAAAGTATCAACCCGATAGTTATGGAGAAAATATAATGTCTTTCGTTGAAAAGTAAATCTCTAAAAAGCAAAATTTCGAAAATGTAAATATTGGAGGAAACAGTTTTCCACATAAAAGGCAATCTGCCGTACAAACCATAGCTAAAACATAACTAACACCTAGTTTTTCTTGAAGTGTGCATTCAAAGTCGGAAAAAATAGTCACCTCCCTAATAATCCACAGTCAGAGGTTTGGGCGAGGCTGCTGTGTGCTTAGCGCATGTTAGGCCGCCCAAGAAACGCCTTCAAATAAGTGCGTATGCAACCAGCGTATTCGTGCCAACGCGGGTGCTTTTAAAATCCCAATAGCGTCGCTGATGGAAAATTATCATTTTCCGTCGCCTTTCTGTCACTCAACGCAGAGTATAAGAATGAGAAACAACTTAATCAGCCAAAATACACGTAATAAAAGAACAACTTAATTTGGGGAAAAGGCTGCAAATAAAGAAAAAGGAATAAACAAAACCCGGGACGTTTCAAAATAATAACAATTTCATTATCAACCGAGCAGAGTATAAGCTGCAGTCAGGTTTTTTCCTCGGCTGCAAATCCTGACGTTCAAATAGGTCCACCAGACCGACTAATTTACTCTAATCGATTAGTCAGTCATTTGGTATTCCGTTGTGTTTCTTGCTGCCGCTGACTTTGTAGTCGATGTCGCAACTTTTGCTGCTGCTTTCGTTTTTTCTTTCGATTCCGGTTATTGTTTTTTTTTTGTTGAGGCCGACCGATAAGTGTTTCTTTTCTCTCTGTCTTTCTTCTTCGCTGCTTTTGTTATTCATGGAATCTTTCAAAAGAAACCCTACATAATTTTAGACATTCCACATGTTCTTACTTGAAGGTAACCATATTCTCGGAAAGCTTTCATTCACTTTCGTTTTCTGCGTTCCGCAATCATCGAGTGATCTTTTTTGAAAATTATGAGGACATACTTGATGACGCTTAGTAATGACTTTTGGTAATAGGTGACACTAAAATGTCTTAAAAGTAATTGATAAGTGGATTGCATTTTGCAAAAAGGAACCACTAGCATTGCAATGATGCTAAGATTGTGCAACTTCATGTTTTGCAATAAAATTGCGGAAATCGTGAAAAACTATGAAATTTAGATGGTAATTTTTGTCTTAAATTTACAGTTTTTAGCGAATAAAATAGAAAATATTAATGGATAATCGGGTTTTTCCTCCAAGACAAAAGAAGTTGCACAATCTTATCAACATTGCAATGCTAGTGGTTCCTTTTTGCAAAATGCAATCCAATTGATTCTGGACGAAACCTAAACCAGGGAGAAGAGGTCCTGAAACCGATCCTTCGAGAAAGGTGATTGCTGCTAAATAATGTAAGACTCTCGTTTAGAAAGAATGGCCCCTTGCTGTCCACCCTCCCTCTCCCTTTCCACACCCTGGGCAAACATATCTACGTATCTACGCTCTTGCTTCTACATCTACTTATGCGTTACGGGGAAAAAGCGACACCAAATCCTGCATAGAATAAAATCCCGTTGTCTACGTAGGCTTTTTCTCCGTATTGGAAATTTTATGTGATTTTGGAGGAGGAGTTAGCCAACACACGAGAGACTGGAGGTTTGTTAGGCGCCCCCTCCCCTCCTTCTCTCTCATTCATTACCACATTTCAGATTAAAGAGAGACATTAAACACTTGCAATGACTCCTCGAAGCATCCGAAGATATGTTACAACGCCGATCCGAAGGCTGCAAGGTAATAACAGTCATTAGGCTGAAGAATTGAAACACATGCTCCTGAAGCACATTAAGGGTAATTACACCTTTGAAGGCATACGTCACAATAAAGGCAAATGAAGTAGTGTCAGTTGCCCCCAAGACCGTTGAATGATGACACAAGGAGAAAAGGGCAACCCCATGTTTGCCGCCCTCAAACTGCAAAATCACTTGCACTTTCTTGCAGAGTAATATAATTAATTATTTTAGAGTAATTAATTATGTCTTGACCAGATGTATCACTCTCCGAGAGAAGACAAGCCTGTCGCAAATGTGAATTGATCATTAGTCATTGCTCGCTGATCATCAAGTCATCAGAATTCCCAGCGAGACTAATAGATGATGTACTTTTTTGTAGGGATTCAGCCGTAGAGCCTCTATGGAACGTAATTTTTAGGGCAAGTGTCCAAAGAAATTTCGATCTTTAAAAAAATACTTGATCATCAGTTTCTAAGATTCTGACAAATACTCTCATTTGGTATGAATGTTCAGAATTCTATACGTACAGAATGTTCTCTTTCTATCAAGTAAGTCCAATCTATACTTAAGGAAGTTTGCAGCTGTTCGTAAAATTGAAGATTTTCCAGTCACACCATTAAGACTGTTCACCCTAAAAGTTAGTTTTAAGATGATGCAGAGCAAAGAAGTTTGGATTTCGTTAACTTTTGTAATTTCTCTTATATTGAAGGTTCATAAAAAAAGGTTTAATCACTCGAACTTCGAGAGTGATGATAGGAAGGGTAGGACGTTGCTTCCTTGCGACTGGTTTACTGTGAAGGACTTCATCTTTTTAGCAAAGAATTGATCTATCAATTTTTGATCTTGGAACATTTTTAAGAAAAAATCCTATAAAGTTACATCACGTGGCGCCGTCTGTTAAGTGTTAACCGCCAAAAAATTGATCCACTTAAAAGTCCTTCATTTCGGAGGGTATGCAATTTGATCTCCGGAGAGTTGAAATAGTTGCTCGAGATGTAAGCGAACTTGCGACGTTGAGAGGCATGGCGCTTAACGCGACGCGGAGCCTCTGTTGACTGCTAAAGAAAGGATCCATCCAAAACTCCTTCTTCAGAGGGTATGCAATTTGATCTCCGGAGAGTTTGAATAGTTGCTAAAGATAAAAACAAACGTAGTCTCCTAGTCGCAAGTCTGTACTTGCGACTACGAGAGACACAGCGCGTCGCACCACGCCGAAGCTTTAGATTTGAGCAAGCTACACTTCGAAAGTAAGTCCCTAACGAAAATCGCAAGTCATTTTCTCCTCTGATATGCAATATTCACTTCAAAATATTCACTCCAAATTGCAAAATGTAGTCCAATTGTGAAATTTTCCTCGAAAGTATTGAAGATCCTTTTCATGTGAGTGAGTAAGTGGAAAAGTGTTTTCTGCAAGAGACCTTATATTTCCGGGAAAAAAGCTTCGTAGAGGAACCGTGTGAAACTGACTTAAGAAAACCTCTCTTATCCTGTAAAAAAAACTCATGAACTTGGGCACCATGACCACAGCGCAAATGGTAGCTCGGTCGAGATGCAGGTCGTCGTAACTCTTAAGAGGCATACATCTCGCTTCCAAACCCTGACTGTTCTCAGTCGAGTGTGTTTTAGCACCAGTCATTATAACTGGCACTGATAGTAAATGTTGTTACATAGTTGCCGTCTTTTATGCGCCAACCTTCTCGCTCGACATTTTTCTCATTTTCGTTTTTTAGGAGTAACGCTTGGCATGAAAGTGCATCATGGCGTCGTAAAAGAAAAGGCAACACAGGCGGTCGACTCACCTCATGAATTTTAACCTTCCTGAAAGAAACATTTCCTCAAAATGTGGATGAAAATATTTTTATTGTATGGTAGAACGAGATTCCAAGTTGGTAACAGAGCGTGGTTCGCCTGCATCTGAGCAGGTAGGCAAAAACAGATCCTAGGCGTCGAAATAGTGGCATCCTCAAAGATAGAATTGATACACGATTCATATTTTTGCATCTTCATGAAGGTTCAAGATCTCAATCATACAATTGTTACAGTCAATCCGTTATTGTTGCACTTTCAATTGTTACCGTCGTGGTTAGAAGTTTTTTTGATTTTTTTTTTGTGGCTCTCGATGTGACTGTCTCACGATAGTACATCATCGCATGAGCTCTGAGAGTTTTCGTTTCAACAAGTTTTTTTACTTCAGGTGAATTTTTTGTCTGAGTTTTTAATGTATTTGACCTTTGGGCGACTTCTTTCTCGTTAAATTTGAAGCAACTCGCTCAAATACATTTTTCCTACTTTTCTCTTTACAACTAGAAAACGTGTTGTTACCTAGTGCAGCAGCTTCAGTGACTCAAAAGCAGTTAGACTGATGATTGAGTGTCAGATGTGAATTTGTGTAGAGCGGATGTACCTTGACAAAACTTTAGAAAAAGAGGTATCACACACAAGAGAAACTCTAATCTGGAAGTTCCCAACGATTTCGATGGCCAAGGGGAAAATTGCAAATCCACATTTCAACGTTTCAAAATCGCTGACTGCGTTTTATTTATTATTTTTTTTTTTTTTAGGTAACTCGTGGAAATAACTCCAAAAAATTGTCTGAACATATTTTTTAACAAGTCAAAAAAGTTCTTTGAAAATTTTGAGCAAAAAATATCCGTCAGTTTTCCCAGTAAGAATAAAACTTACGCAGGAATTTGCAGTGTCATTATCAGCCGTACGCATTTTTCGACTTCAGCCATTTATTTGTTCTCACGAAATTGCAAAAGATCCCTGTTAGGATGACGCTCTCGCACCTTCCTGCTTTCCATG